AAATATGAATAGTTAATTATAACTAGTTATGGTTAATTATTCATATTTCCCCATGAGCTGATTCGCTACACATTTTATCAATTCATGCATTCCATCTATCAAGGCTTCCAATGGATACAGATGCTAGTGTCATGCTCTATGCCATGCTAAAATGCTATTTGGCTGTTGGTTATCCAATAGTCTGTATGGCCTCAGTGACAACAGCAGCACATTTTGATTATTACAAAGACAACCCATTTTTTTCCTTGACTTCAAACATTTCTAATCATTATAATGGACTGTAAAGTAACTAGTCTCCTGTCCTGCATTTAGCTGAATGTCAGCCAATTACAGCAAAAGCGCTGCGCCACGACTCATATGTTAGTGTGTTACTAAGCTCATTTACATGATTCCTACCGATATGTACCACCAAGGCAGACACACAAAGGGATATTTTCAGAAATGTTACACACGTGTTTAACCATTAACCTTTCCTCCCTAAAAGTGCAACTGTTTTGGCAGTGGTCTTTTTCTGATTTTTAATAAGGTCACTCTACGGAAAGATTCCACGGATGGATTTGTAAAGTGCCACACTTTCAGAACTATGACAACAATGTAAGACTGACACATAGTTTGTAAGTCTTCAATGATTGGGAGAGTAACACCCCCGCTCAGATCTGGTGTTCCTACCGTTCAAGGTCCAAAGCTGCGGGAAGGAGAGACTTGGAGGCCAAAAGCACCGGTCACACACTGGCAGCTCTCAGAGTAACTCTCAAACCCAGCTGGGGTCAAGGACCCTCCATCACCCCGCCGAACAAAAGGAGAGATTCCTACAGACCCTGGACAACATGGCACAGACACAATGGGAGGCTGGAAACACCCCCCACCACATACACACAAGCCACCCCTCATTAAGGAACTCTCAAGCAAAGGCAAGGATTAGCGCACTGGATCCGATCCAAACGGACCCGAACGGCATTGCCTTGGGAATGCAGTAATCGCACACGCAAGAGCAATCATCCCGTTAATCTTCATTCATTCCTCTATTATAAAAGCATTTCTTGCTGTTTTAAAACACTTCACTTAAGATTACAGAGTACAGAGGAAAACCCAATTAATAATGAAATCAAATGAGATCAAATACTCCCAAAATCAAGGATGTTATGATTTTCAAATTGATTTCACAGCCAAGTAGCCATTTTAATACTTTAATAAGCCATTATCAATTCCCCCACAACGTTTACAGTATATATATTATAAATATTTTTAAATTAAATTTTATTTTTGTGGTCATAAAACACTGGCTCAACCAATTGCATGAGTTTGGGGGGTGGGGCTTATCTGTTTGTCTACAGACACAATTTTTTTAATTTGGGGACACCATTAAATACAGACACACAGAAAAATGTATTTATATACATATATATATATATATATATATATATATATATATATACAAACAGGAAATAAAATATATTTTTTCTGTTCTGAAGAAATGAAACTTTGCTACAATGTAAAGTTGTAAAGTTACAGCTTGTATAACAGTGTAAATTTGCTGTCCCCTCAAAATAATTCAACACACAGCCATTAATGTCTAACTAAACCACTGGCCACAAAAGTGAGTACACCCCTAAATGAAAATGTCCAAACTGGGCCCAAATTGTCAATATTTTGTGTGGCCACCATTATTTCCCAGCACTGCCTTAACACTCTTGGGCATGGAGTTCACCAGAGCTTCACAGGTTGCCACTGGAGTCTTCTTCCACTCCTCCATGATGACTTCACGGAGCTGGTCGATGTTAAAGACCTTGCGCTCCTCCACCTTCCGTTTGAGGATGCCCATGTTTGGCCAATCCATCACCTTTATCCTCAGGTGTGTTTGGGGTCGTTATCATGTTGGAATACTGCCCTGCGGCCCAGTCTCCGAAGGGAGGGAATCATGCTCTGCTTCAGTACACATGAAAATATAATAAAATATTTACAAAAATGTGAGGGGTGTACTCACTTCTGTGAGATACTATATATATATATATATATATACACACATAAATACATATGTGCATAGATATACATAATTTTATTTTTTTATATATATTATATAAACACTTAGGAATTAAAATAGGCCTATATATATATATTTGGATTATATAACTTAATTAAAAATCAATCCTTTGTTTCAAAACAAATTGCAAATCATAAACGACTAACCTTTCTAAATAAAGAGAAAGACATTTCCGACTTTATCTTTGTTTAAGATTGCTGGCATTGTTGAATGAATTCACAGTGTCGATGGCAAATAAACTTTCCCTTGCCATTATCCAAAAAAGATAACGAGAGGTTAGTGACCGTGAGACCAAGGCTAACGTTGACCCACAACAGGTTGAAACTCTTGACAGCAACAACAAGCTCTTTTCACCAACCCTGTGTGGTCTCACTCTTACCTTTGGTGTTAAAAGCTTCCTTGAGGTGGAGCAGCACGTCTGCAAACCTCCGCACTTCGTTGACCAGCTGCATGATGTAGTCGGGATCGGCACCTGCCATGTCCATGCTGTCCGACCCCGAGCTGATGGAGCTCAGAGAGCCGCTCTTCGCCGATCGGCCCAAACCCCACGACCCTGAGACCGAAGAGAGGGGGAAAAAGTGGGAGTTGGGAAGCCGTGCCATTCCCAGCGATCGCTTGTTCAGTCCTCCGCTGCTTTGCTGCAGCACCCCGGCAGCAAACATCCCAGCTGCAGCCAGTTTGAATGGATCCCAGCGCAACGTTCCCTGGAGACTCTCAGATTCCAAGAGTGTCCTCACCTCTGACAGTTGGTCCTGTGTGCACAATGCAGTCAACGTATGGTTAAACCTTGAATGTTTAAATACAAGAACACTTCTATTTGTTGGACTTTACCGCACATATACACAGGGGGAAATTTAAGCTGCGCTCTAATAGGGATGTCTTACACACCAAATTGGTTTAGCCTTCACTGAGCCTCAACAGTGATTTACATCTCAAATAAAGAAACCTTCAAACAGACTTAAAGGGATATGGATATACTTTGAGATGGCGATATTAGTTACAAGCAAACCAGGAATTCAAAGGCATAATTTGACTGTGACCTGAGGCTTAGAAAAAGCTTGGGAAAAGTCTACATTTCCCTTTAAACCTCTAACCCTATCATGTCTCCATCAGACTGTATTGTTTCACATATAAGACTTGCATTCTTCATATCAAGTGCTCTTTTTATCATTTAAAAATGCAGGTAAACACAATCCTAGTGTCTTTACTTTGCTCAAGATAAAACGTTTTCAGGAAAGCCAAGCTACTAACCTCAGATTAAAGATGAAGTATCTCACTTTATCTTAAGGATTTTTGTCATTTTTTAAAGAACTCACACTGTGGATTGTAAATAAAGCTGTTCCTTGTTGTTATTCATCAGAAAAGAGAGATTAAACAAGGTTTGTAGAACAAGTTAGAATTCCAAACATCTATTTTTCCACCAAACCACAAGATCAGCCGAGCAATAACAAGTCATTCTATATTAAGAAAGTCCAATATCAAAAACATTCCTAATTATATAATGAAAATAAAGTTAGAACTTCACAGAAACATAGTAACTGTGGCATTTACCCAATGAAAAATTATGGAAAAACATGGAAATTCTGCCTTGCAATTTTGCATAACTGGTGTTGAACAGTTTAATCCTGCTGTTATTACCCTCACACCAATTGTTTTAGAGAACAATTGAATTTCTCCTAAAAAGGTTTCTGGTTGGTCATGATGGAAATGAGAAGTAAAAGAGGAGTAGAATGACAGTTTAAAGATCAGAAATGTCATTAATATTAAGTTGGTTCATGTCATTGCCAAAAAGAAATTTGAGAATTTTAATTAAAAAAAACTAATTTATTTTTTAGAGAAACATGAATTGACTGGTAGATAACTTGCTCTTAACAAGTCCGAAGCATCTTCTCCAAAACATCAAACACACAGAATGACAAATCCACATCACCACAATTTGTACCAAATCCACCCCTTAAGTGCCCCTAACTAAAAATAAATAAAAAAACACTGAAAGTTAAATACCACAGTCTAAGTGAAATAATGATAAAAGAGTAAAACAAACCCTCAAACGAGTTCATTCTAACACATGTCAAATGGCTCATATTAAGTTCATTCCCAAACAACACAACATTTCTTAAATAGACCTGAAATAAATGTTATATATAAAACTATTATAAAACTATAATAAAAATATTATTATAAAACTAACCACAAACTAACTCAAAAGTTGTACGTTTGTGGAACTTTTTCAGTGTTGCTTTAATGCGACATCGCGAACCTCACTTTCTATTTAAAATATGCAGTGAAGCAATTCACCTACAGAAGTAGTTCTTCAAACAAACGTAGATTTAATCAAAATCCCACCAGTTAAGCAATTCAGTCATATCTCAAATATGAAATTAAAACATGCATACTCACTTGAGGAGCATATCTCGATCATTGCACAGAGATGCATGTACACTGGAAACCACAATATATCCGAAATACCGTTAAATCCCCGGTTCGTTCTACCGTTTCTGTCCCGTAAAGTCAACCGAAATAATGCTGTCTATGTGCGCTTCACATTCCACTTGGCTTCGCCCCGCCTTCTAGCGGCTATCTAACTTCCGATTGGCCCCGGTGTGGAAGAGAGGCGTGGCCTCCGTCTCCACCCACTAACAACAGGTGAACAGGTTTTAGAATATATTAAATAATGCCTTAAGATGATTTTTTCTGAATTTACTGTTCATATTCAGGTCATTTCATGTCATCACGAATCACTAGGGAACTTAAAATCTGTGCTCAAGATTAGAAATTGAATTATGCCAAAAACGAAAGCTGATTTGGAAAGGGATTTGATCCATCTAGTGGCTGTTTTTTTTTCATGTTACCTTCAAAGATGCAACCAAATATTAGAATACAGCGGACACAAAGCAAAGTTTAAGCTTTAAAACTGTCTGTGTGTGTGTGTGTGTGTGTGTGTGTGTGTGTGTATAAAACAAAAGTAAGATTATTTAAAAAAAAAATGGTCATGTTTATATGTTATTCATTGAACTAATATAATCGACAATGCATGCAGGACTTACAATCATGCATCGTGTCAACGTGAATTTTAAAATGTTTTTCTTTCAAATTAATTCGAGGCTATATTTTGAACTATGGTATTATTTGCTTTTGGGTTTCGAGTAATAAACGCAACACGTTTCATTATTAAATCGTATTTTTGAATACAGTCAGAACAGTGCTAATGGGCTCCCAATGTATGACGTCATTTGTAAATATTGGACCCCAATACTGCTTGCCTGCAGTTTGTGGACACAAAGCTACAGAAAATTGGTAATTTCCGTACAGATTACTGAATTATTAAAGTCCTGTATTGACTGCTCGTATAAAAATTAAAGATTTATCATCACGCTTACAAAAAGTATCACGGTACTACAGTATTTTCTTGGACATTTACCATGGCATCACCATGGTGTTTTGAACATGTATCATGGTACTGCTAAATATGTTTAATAATTTATTTACCTATGTTTAAGTTCGTAACACTAGAATAGATACTGATATGGCATAAATCGATAATTTTGACCCATACAATGTATTGTTGGCTATTGCTACAAATATACCCGTGCTACTTATGACTGGTTTTGTGCTCCAGGGTCACATATGTGTGTGTTTTGTATGTACATCAAAGAAAGTTATTGAAAATTGTTAATGTATTGGGAAAAAAACTGTTATTTGAATTTAAGTTGACATTTTTAATGTTGATTAAAATATTGTGGTACTATCATCCTAAACCCATTATTGCATGTCATATTCAACCGTGAGCTGAGTGTATCGTTAAACCCCAATATATATATATCGAGAGAGTGTGAAATCATAATATTACCATCTCATTCTAGATTCAATTTTATTAGACGTAAGTTTGGGGTAACTTTCATTTTCTTCTGTCCTCAGCTCAAGTCTTTCCAGCACGCTCTGAGCTCCCATGACTGCTCCAGGAATGTATATATCAAGAAAAACGGGTTCACCCTGCACCGCAACCCTATTGCCCAAAGCACAGATGGTGCCCGTGGGAAAATCGGCTTCTCGGAGGGCAGGCATGCCTGGGAGATCTGGTGGGAAGGTCCTCTTGGCACGGTGGCGGTGATCGGCATCGCGACCAAGAGGGCTCCCATGCAGTGCCAGGGCTATGTGGCGCTTCTAGGCAGCGATGATCAGAGCTGGGGATGGAATCTAGTAGACAATAACCTGCTTCACAACGGAGAGGTCAATGGCAACTTCCCCCAGTGCAACAACGCACCAAAATACCAGGTAGCAGAGCTTGAGAATGTACTATATGTAAAAATCGTGCCATTCCAAACTTATTCCAAGGGACAAATTATATGTCATCATTTACTCACCCTCAAGTCATTCCAAACCGGTATGACTGACTTTCTTCTGTAAAACACAAAAGAAAATGCTTTAGGTTTGATATAGCCTTTAGGTGCATCCCAATTTGCATATTTATGCACTGTTCAGTGCATTAAATGCACTATTTATGCATTATTTTTGTAGTATAAATAGTGTAATTGTTCATACTGTTAATTCTAAAAAGAAAACATGCATTTAAATAACTGAAAAGATTAAGTGCATTTATCCTTACAGTATCAGACACCAACGTTACAACTTTTGTATATGTGCATTAGGGGTGGGGGGAAAATCGATACAGCATAGTATCGCAATATTTTCCGCGGCAATACTGTATCCATACGCCAAGTATCAATCTATTATTATACTATTTGGTAGAAGAACAAAATCAATTTCTTTACAGTCCACTAGATGGTGATGTTGAGTTTTTTTTCTAAAATCCTCTAATGCACGGCAAGCCATTGATTATCCCGCTTATTCCATGGTCATTTGCCACCATTGACAACTTAAAGCTGTTTATGATTTTAGCAGCGCAATATTTAACCGGAAGGGTAAAAATGATGGTTATTTTTGTCAGTTACGGCTCGTTAGCTCTAGCTTTCTGCCCGCTTCAAATCAGAGACAGAGATGATAAAGTGTGGTAAGACCACATTTAAATTTGAATGAATTATAGCATTTATTTGAGTGAATTATCAATCGAGAGAGAGATGACAGTTGTGTGTGTGAATTACCTGCATCTGTGCGTCTCTCTACTCAAACAATGAAGCTGTTTAGTTACTTCGAATTCTACCTCGTTGCTGAGGAAGATAATGTAGCGATCTAGTATCTATGTTTTTTTATTAATAAAAGTCGCAGGGCAGCACCGACAATAAGTTTCTGTGTGTGTGCGCAGTGCGATTTGCAATCTCCGACCTCTCTTCCTCTCACTGTGTTTATGTGCGAGTGGTGTGTGTGTGTGCATCAATTAAAGCAGCGCATTAATATAGAACGGTGATTAAACTGGCTTGGAACTACATGAAATGAATGAAAGTAAAATACTAAGAGCACAGCAGTGCATAGTATACCTGTTGTAGCACATTGTTTACTTTAAAGGGGTCATATGATGCGATTTCAATTTTTCCTTTCTCTTTGGAGTGTTACAAGCTCTTGGTGCATAAAGAAGATCTGTAAAGTTGCAAAGACTAAAGTCTCAAATCCAAAGAGATATTCTTTATAAAAGTTAAGAGTCAACCACGCCTACCTAAAACGTCTCGTTCTAACACGCCCCCACATATCTACGTCACGATGTCGGAAGATTTGCATAATGCCGCCCAAATGTTCACGCAAAGAAAGAAGGCATAACTTTTATTCTCGCTGTAGTATTGTTGCTGCCGCCATGTCGTGAAGGTGCTGTGTTTCGTTGTGAAAGCGAAACTACTTTGTTTGGCTTTCCAAAAGAGAACGATATCCGCTTCATCATGCCTAGAGCTAAATCGTGCTGGTCGCTGAGGAAATACATCAACTTTGCGCTGTGGATCGCCGGATCGGCTTTCACCGTGGACGAAGCGGAGTCCAGCCCGGGGTCGTCACATGTGGTTGGGCAAGCCTGCCGGCCTCCGCTCACGCTAGGCTGCCGGCCTGAAAGCGAAACTACTTTAGAGGACACAACTAGAAATCAGTGGTTAAGTTGTATTTACAACACTTTTCCAGGACAGTTCAACCCAAATATCCAGATGTGTGCAGCACATTTTATGGAGGACTGTTTCCTGATCCTGGTAGAGTAGACTACAATGCCGGCTGTTCTGACTCACAGACTGTAAGTAAGTTTTTTTATATTAAAGAATTTGCCACTGATGATTCAAACGCGAGTTTTGAGCAGTGTAGAGTAGCGCTTGTTGTTTGTCATTTCTCCGATCAACAAATGCAGACATGGTTTTATGTTGACGCGGCGCAATGCAACGCGTAAAAAGACAGTATATGTCATTATAATCTGTCCCCACTGGATGCAACAAATGCCTGGTTTATAATGGGTTTTAATGTTTTTGTCTCGTCGCTCTGGCCGGACAGGGAATCACAGTATGGTAAGGGGTGTAACATTTCCGTCACACGCTTGAGGTATTCGGCCAATCACAATGCACTGGATAGCTGGCCAATCAAGAGCACACCTCGCTTTTCAGACCGATAAGCTTTGTAAAAATTAGAAAGGCGGGGCATAGAGGAGAAACAATAATGTACAGTATGTGGAAAATAATGTGTTTTTTTAACCTTAAAACACATTTCATTACACCAAATGCACAAAATAATGTTCTTTTTAGCAACATCATATGACCCCTTTAAGAGTACATGTTATGTTTAATTTAAATGTAACATTATTATTTTAATTTTAACAGTAATTTACTTTCAAATGCCCCAATTGCTGAAGTGTCTGCACAACTTTGTTGTGTTGCATTGTTCAAAATGCCTGTAGTAGCACAGCAGCGCATACCTGTTTACATTTAATTAAGGTTGACTAGACTAGACTGTAATACAACTAATTGAGTTTGCCAGGTGCATACAACATTTATGACAGGTTTTCATGAAAGTGTTGGTCAGTTTGTCTGCTTGACAATCCCATTTTGCACTGCAACAATAGAATTGAAGTGAGATAAACAAACTGAGAAATTTTTCTTTTTAGTTAAAACAGATGTTGCCAAAGTTTTCGTTTGGGGACATAATTTGAAGTTGGAAAAAGGTAATTAATTGCAATATATCGCAGAATATCGCAATATATTTAAAATAAATCGCAATAATATTATATCGTGACACAAGTATCGGGATAATATCATAGTGTGGGGCCTCTGGTGATTCCCACCCCTAATGTGCATTGATCAATATTTAGATTTTACTTGAAACTGAGGAAAGGCTTGCAATTCTGTTTATCATAAAAAGTAACTTACAATATACCAGCCAAGTCATATGAATTAGTTTTATGCTACCTTTATGTCCTTTTTGGATTATTTTGGTTCTAAGAAGAGAAGAAAAAAAACAGCTGAAATATTCTAAACATTCAATCATTCTTGTGAATGTTTCAAAGAAGAAAGTGCAATGACATGAAGTTGAGTAAATTATGTCAGACTTGTATTTTTAAGGTAAAAAATTAAATAAATAATTTACCTAAAAAAAATTGAAATTTCTCATTCTCTCATTTTCTAAACCTGTTATTTTTGCTCTTATCTTTTTAGATAAAGGATATATTTTAAATAATTTTGGTGCAGCTCTGTGAATTCCATACAACAATATTCATAGTGACCACAGTTTTCAAATTCCAAAAATGACAAAAGTTAATGAGAATCTCTACCAAAGCTCTAATCTAAAATTTCAAATTGTTGTTTGTACAAAGGTATTGTATTGCTGCAGAAGACTTAGAAAAAAGCCTATAAAGGCTAGAATACACTACATAACTTTTAAATTCAAAATAGATTTTAAAACACTAGGCGTCACTTCCCAACTTTGTATATGGTTACAGAGACGAACTGGCCATACACTAAATCTCACACAATTTTTAAAATGACTTTTCAAGTCATTCCGAAAAACGACAAATTCACACAGAAACATGAAAATGATGTGTTCTAAAATTGACTCAAAATATTAATTAATGTTTGAAATTCCATTTTTTGTCTGTGTGTGCTTTAAAATCTTGTTTGGGGAAAAACAGTGTGAAGAGTCTTGCATATATACTGGCATATAAGTTTGGAACGACAGGAGGAAGAGTAAATGATGACGTTTTCCTTAAAAAAAAAAAAGATGTATCTATAATATGTTTGTATTTGTTTTCCAGATCGGGGAGAGAATCCGTGTAATCCTGGACATGGATGATAAGACACTAGCCTTTGAGCGAGGTTTTGAGTTCCTTGGAGTGGCGTTCCGAGGGCTGCCCAAGACATGCCTGTTTCCAGCTGTGTCAGCCGTCTATGGGAACACTGAAGTGACTATGGTGTATCTGGGAAGACCCCTGGATGGATAAGTAGGATCTTGGTGCCACTATTAGAACCAGAGAGCATCATGGGATCTGCTGCTTGACATAGATAAGACTCTTGGCTTTTCACATCTGGACTAAAAAATTAGGAAATTGGTGGTTGGTGGCAGGCTTGTTGATGGATGTCCAACACACATCTGCGGATTTCAGTTGAACATCTATTTGCTTTTAATCCTTTTTGAAGACCTGGGACATTTTTTTAAATCTGGTTTTAATCTAATTTATGAAATCGCACAGGGAACAGCTGTTCTATTTTATGAAATGCTAAAACATGAAGCCAAACTAGAAGAGACAAGTGGCAAAGTTTTCTAATTCATTACCAACATTTTATAACACAATGCATGGAATGAGAAGCTGCTATATGAGTACGAGGACGGCTCAAGCTTTCACACACAAAAACAAATTTACGTGTAGGTAAATGACATGAAGTAAACATGCCAAAATTATGTACTGATATCTTACCGTTGTTTTTTTTCCAGAGCAGTTATCTGCATGCAGTATACCAGTCTCTTCCGCTGTTTTTTTTAATTATTATTTTTCATGACAGGCAAAGGTAGTATGTCGTTATTCCGTTTGTTACTGTACATCTTAACTGTGATGTAGAAGTGTATAGTATTTATTTATTGAGGTCTATCTTTGCTATACCTGAGGTTATGGAGACTCCAAATAAACTCTAAATTGTGCCAGACTGTGAACGTATCTCAGCCTGTTCTATTGTTGACCTTAATGTGGATTAATTTAATCTGGTGGTTTAATAGTCTATCATATTGATATCTAGAAAAGCCCATAGCTGTTCTTATTTCACCACAAGGTGGCATCCGTCATCATAAATTCCTCCACAAGGCAAAACAATTGTTTACAGTCACATCTGCTCCGTAAGTGTGTTCATACTATGCACTGCAATTCCTTTATTTAGATGACTTAAATGAATTTAAAATAAGCTAAAACAATTAAAAATTAAGATTGAAGAACCAGAGTTCCCACTGTCTTGGAAAATCTGAATAGGTTAAGTAGCCTAATTATAAAATTGAGATTGATAAACATGGAAAAGTAAATTAATAAATCTTATAACTCCACTGGCAAAATGCAAAAAAAAGTATAAACTTTTTTACACATTTTATTAATAATTTTTTTTTCTAGTGATGTTAAGTTGGAAAACGTTTCATCAGGTGGAAATTGTGAGTTAAAAATATTTGTAAAAATTCTTATCCTTAATCCTTATCCAGTAAATCATGAAGAACTGGACACATCATTGGGCCTTTGACTATCGTTGTGGACAATGCAGTGGCCATGGAGTCAAACCCAAATCCATGGTGTCCAATCCTGCTCCTGGAGAGCCACTGTTCTGCAGAGATTTGCTCCAACCTCTATTAAACACACCTGAACCAGCTAGTCAAGGTCTTACTTAGTCTCAGCCTCAGACATCACGCCCACTGACCGCTGGCTGAACATCTGATGCATATGGCAGTACTCAAAATTGGAAACACTTCAGGAGATTCAAAGTCGTCATCGGATTGGTTGAAGTATACAGGATTTCCGGAAGACATGTGTGTTGCATTCTTTAACATTCCAGCTGGAAACAAAGATGCCCGACGGCCGCCAAACCCCCTCATGGAAGACGAAATCCATTGTGTTTACAACTGTGACAATGAGCGCTTATCAAGAACAACTAAAAGCTGGATTTTCAAAAGTATATGAAATATGTAAAGTTTGCGGCATAGACTCTTTAAAATACGTCCAAGAGTTTTACACACCGGCCTGTTATTGTGGCGACATTTCCATACCCCTAAACATGAAGCGGCACAAAATGAAACATGATTGGTTGCTTTACATTTCAGTCATATGGCCTCTTGAGCAGTCCTTGGCCATTCAAAGCAGCCAAGGTTCCCAGACCTTCTGCCGTCAGTCTGAAGGTCTGGCTACACAAGACATAATAGAAACTTCCAGGAAGGTTTGTTGAAGCAACTGGCGAAACTCTGCAGAACAGTGGCCCTCTAGGACCAAGTCTAGACACTCCTGACCTAGAAACACCCTAGTAACTGCATAGCAACACACTAAAATGACTTGACATAAGGGCACAGCACTACTGCACTAAAAATGACTTGACACCATAACAACCACATAGAAGTGCCCTACAAACGACTAGGATCACCTTAGCAACATACTAAAAACACAACTGCACTAAGAAAGGCTCAACGCCCTATCAACCACATAGAAACACACGAAAAACCGCGTAGGAACCCATGGTGTGGGAATCACATACAACACGCTAGCATCGAGTTTTTTTACGAGCAAGCTCGTTATTTTCAGCACTTGAGAAATCTTATTTATGTGAACCTATAAGGTTTTAGTGCATTCAGCACTTTATAGCACATTTGTTTAGGTCTGTAAAACAGGTCACGCCTGACCGACTTTCACATGGTATTTTTTTAATAACTGCACTTAGAAGCCTGATTATTCACTGAATATGCAGTAATATAATCCGTACGTCTTTATTTTTGCTATGCAATGTAGGCTACTGCAGGGGAATTAAAATAAGCTGCGGAGATACATTACTGTCATGAAAATAATTGTTCGTGCACAAACTGGATCACTTTTAGGTTGCTGGCTATCAGTAGACGTGCTTGTAAACGAAGCAATGTGGCACGCGTGAACGTTTTCACAGGTTTTCACAATAGCACAGCTTATGAGAAGAATGTGACAGTTTCACGAGCAGAAGTGATGGGCCTGCATCTTTCTAGCAGGAAGGGTGTGAGCTCTTGGTGGTTTCCTCTTGAGTAGTATCTGATGAGTGAAACCAGTAGTGGGTGCTTTGGGTGTGTTCACTTGGTAGGTTTGTGGTCTACTGAACAAGACAGAAATAAGGTCGAAATGTTTGTGCAACATATACTTTTACAGGTGCTTTTGCACCTCAGGTGCAACGGTTATCACGTCAATATTTTTCCTTGTTAGTTTTTTTAATGTAAGAACCATTAAATGTCCTTCATACTCATACTGCTCTGTTAGTGTACTGAAACCGAAATATTTTTGCTGTTGTGGGATGTGGTCGATTTTTACATATTTAACGTGCATATTTCTGACCCTGCAGCATGCGTGTGAAATTTATGATCTTGGCTGCCTTCATGTGACTGCGTTTCCGTTGCTTGCTTGCTTCCGCAATTACTAAAGACATTGCAGAGATGCAGATGTCAAGCACTTTGCATCTCCGGAGAGACCAAGCCAACAGAACCTCCCCGCAAACCGATGTAATGGTCTTCTGTGAACTTCACAGAGGAGCGGAGGGCGCGATCCTGGCCACTGGGGTAAGTGTGCATGTTATACCCACGTGAGATTGTGTGTAAATATAAAACGGCCAGGGTGAATGTTTAATAGCAGCATTATCTTTCATTCAATATGACTTTCAGTACACTCATTACAAGGATAGTCACCTGTCCTATCTTACTCAAGGGTGCAATATTATACATTTTTGTGGTGATCGAACTTTTAAGTGCTTGCAGGGTTTTGATGCATTTGACTATACAGTGGACCCAAAAGTATTTGGACTTGTAGGTCACACTTTAAAAGGTCAAAAAAAAAAAAAAAAAGGTAATTAAATATCAAACCAACTGGCATTTACAAGCAAATGACTTTTTAGATCTCTCAAATGATGACCTTTTAGACTTTTTTAGTCTAAAATAGTTTATAGTTTAATTATGTGCTGTATATACAGTATATACTGTTTTTATATTATTTAAAACTTATCTTTGAAAAAATATTTTTAAATGATTTTTTTACTATTATTTTTTTATTTTTTATTTAAAGTTCTAATTCTTGAATTTAAGTTCAAAGGGAATTTTTATTTTTAATAAATGCCATGTGGTTTGGTATTTTGGTAATGCAGTGACATTAACACATTTATTAAGTTTGACGTAAGTGTCCAAATGTTTTTAGGGCCACTGTATATCGATTAATGACTGACAACGTGTGCCTAACCGATCTGATTTATAACCTGTACCACAGTTGGCTCAAGTAGATTCATGTTAGCTGTAGCCACAAATTTCCGCTGTCCCTGCCACATGTAGACCTCTAGGTGTCAAAGTAATTTCTGTTATGAAATATAAATTGGAAATGAAGTGCCTTAAGGAACAATTTTAGTGTCTAAAAGATTTGAGATTAACTTTATATTACAGTTTCTGTGTACTCATATGTTACAAAAATGTAATTAAATTGCTAAATCATTGTGCAATTTCAAGCAGATCCACAAAATAATGTTTTAAGAACTTCAAAAATAATGTAAATACACCTTTACTTGGACACTGTAAAGTGTTATTGTAACAGAGCATTTACATAAAAAGTATACATAAATAAAAAAGTTTTATATATATATATATATATATATATATAATCTTTTATATAAATATTAATGTACAATTGTTTTATTACTTCGTCACAGTGATCATGTTAAGATGCTGGTGTTCGATCGCCTGTTCATCGTGCTCTGTCACGCAGTGGTGCCGCTTCTGGTGGTCCTGCTTTCAGTCTCAGGACATCCACAGATCTTCCCCTGCAGGCTGGTATGTGAGAAAAGGAAAGACTGTAAAATACATCTAGATGAACACTGATGCGTATGATAATTCTCTGAAAAGAAAATAAGAATATTGCTTAAGCATATTACATTATACTAAATCTTAAAGTATGATGTTACAGTTGTTACCTTAACAAGCCATTACTTGTGGTGTAACCTGATGTATTCAGGTAGATTAAGTTATTTTGAATTGAATAAAACCATTTCATTTACAGTAGATGTTACCACATGAAGGACATTTTTAGGTTACTTGACTAAACATTTTTACCAAGTATAGACTATTATGAAGTTTAATCAGCAAACCACATGGGCTAAATTTGCTTGTTTGTCTATTTTTGTTGTTCTCCATGGGCTTAGCAAGTGAAATGGCCTTTAGTGGAAATTATTAATCACATTATGGTACTATTTTTTTTTTTTAATTCCATTGTGTGTAAGAATAATCTAAATCAGTCTTTCCTTCTCTTTTTTTTGTCTCTCTCCACATCTCAAGATCCAAAGCACGGCTCTGTGCAACAGCTGTCAGCTCGCTGCCGTACCAGATCATTTACCACGTCAAATTGAGGAGATCGTCTTAGACAAGAACCGTCTGTTAAATCTTCAAGATGGTTGTCTCTCCAGGTATCCTCTTCTACGGACGTTCAGCTGTGCGAACAATCGGCTAATGACGGTGGAAGAGAGTGTGTTTTCTGTATCGCCTCTTTTAGAAAACCTCAATTTAGCCAACAACGAGCTTTACTATGGACACAAGCAGGTGGCCCAGTCCTTAAGCTCTCTGTCCCAACTAAAGACCCTTGATCTTTCAGGTAATGGCCTCTCGGAGGACATGGTGTCTCTGCTGGTACAGAATCTGTCCTCGCTTGAGTCTCTATACATGTCCCGGAATGCCATGCTGAGGCTAGATGAGTCAACATTCGGAAACCTTCATCAGCTTAGGGAGCTGAACGTCGAGAGAAACTTGTTGTTTGAGATCGATGGAGCGTTTGATCATATGAAAAAACTCCAGAGGTTGAACCTGGCCTTCAACTGCTTACCATGTTTGGTCAACTTTGAAATGACCCAACTCCTGGCCCTAAACGCCAGCCACAATTCCATTGAATGGTTCATAACCAATCAAAATTTGACTGAGAC